CACCAGGTGATGTCCAGAGCTCCCTCTCAAAACGAGTCTTTTTGGGTTTCTCTGATTCTGGGCATAAAACCCAAATCCTATTAGTGAAGCATATTATTACAATGAAGTGTTTCTAAAGTCAATTTATGAAGCTGCACAAACGGGTAATGCATTTATATTATGTCTGTGACACAGTCATTGTTATCACCTCAGATCATCCACTTATCATTTTATGCCTGATCTGCAAAGAAGAAAACACCTAACTGGTAGCCCTAGAAGGTATGGGGAAGTGACAAAGGGAGGTATAAAGATTTTTCTAGACCCTTAGGAAAAAAATATGAGACAGTAAGGAAAAGGCAGCTGATGTCCCCTCTGCCTTCTGCAGGACACAGCTTCAGTTCCTGAGCCCTCTCTTTTGCAAAATGAGCAAAAGAGTCTGAGTCTCTAGGGCAGACTCGGACATGGTCCAAAACTCAAGAAGCCACTTCTCTTTTGGCTAAACATAAACAAGCGTAATTCTGCTGCTGCCATACAATAATAAAGAGGTGGTAAGAGATAAAAGGTAGAACATTCAAAAATATATGCCATTAATATCACTTATGAACTATCTCAATCTGATTTCTTCTTGTAAGAAAGGGACTTAGTAGCAGTTGAAATTGCTGCTAGTGATCACTAGAAACTCACACTGACATATATTCCAAGTAAGCTTTTGTTGGGCATTTTGTTTATATATTTTTCTGATGGGAAAACTTTGGGTCAGCTTTGAGAAACAGCTTATACTTTTGTTCTCCAAATATTATTTATTTATTTCACAGTTGACAGTTGCATGGTAATTATGCCACTCTCTAATGATAGTTGATCATTATTTGTATTCAACAGCAAAGCTAAATTCCCCATTTCTAGCAGAATCTGCTATAAAATAAATAGAGTCACATAATTTTTTCCAGGAAGTTTAAGTTCAAGGACCTACTTATTTCAGTGAAAAACTTGATGCATCTTTTTCTGACAACTGTCACCTTATAAGGAAGTGTGTGAAAACATTGTGATTTTGGTTCAAGTGCAGTATTTATAATGGCAAACATGATGTGAAATACAAATGTAGGGAAAACAACGCAATTATATTTGAAGCTTCCACTAGTATAAAGTCTGTAATTTTTTAAAGACAAAAATCAATCCAGAGGTGTTTCTGATTGTGCTAATGCAGTATAGCAGTAGAAATGGAAATGCTGTTCTGCTGGATCTTTCTAGCACAGCATTGCTCCCTGCAGCACATTATTCACTGCTTTGGTTACTCCAGCTCTAAATGATGCAGTTTTTGCCTTTCCTTATGAGATTGCTCAAACCATTAAGTAGATTTGGGAGCTTTTGTTGAGAGTCTTTCTACACTCAATTTTGTTCCACTTTGATAACAATTTTGAACAGCTCTGCTTTTATTGTTTGTTTTCTTTTTCTTGTTTGTTTTGAGTTGTCAATGCAGCAAATAAGCTCTTCGTGGAAGAGGAGTCTCCTACCCCCAGTCTTGAAATATTGGCTCACTGCGTATGGAGATAAAATTCACTGGACTCCTAATGGGAAAGTTCTGCTGTGACTGTTTTTGCACATTGTTTTTTTCCCTCTATCACCTTTCAAAGAACATATTTTCACAAATTCCAAGTGTCCCAATGGAATCCTGCTCTGTATTGTTTTTCTCCCTGTTATTTTTATTTTTTGTTTGTTTACTTTTTTTGTCAAATCCTTTCTAGGCTTTTTTATTCTAATCAGTTCATTGTGCAGTCTCATAGACATAACACTGCTATGCTGATGTGACAAGTGGCACGAGATGTAGTTGCTATTGGATAAGGGCTGTGGAATAGCCAGGCCCTGGAGGAAATGGGGTGGATGATTCATTGTTTAACTGTTGTCAATAAAGGGTCAATGTTCAAGGAATTAAAGGGCTGATAGGGTGCCAACTTCTGGATAAGAAATAAAACAAAAGCCCTGACCATTTGTGGTTATTAAAGTTTCCATGGCTCTCTTCCAATACTAACATACTATTTTGAAATCCTGACAAAATTCAAATCGACTTATTTACATTCTGCCTTCCCATGTTTCCTATTATTGTATAACGTGTTCTTGTTACTTAATTGCAGTGAAGTCTTCAGTGATGTTAAGCAGGTGCTGATGTTTGGGCTTGGGGAAAGGATCTAAATATAATGTAAACCTGGAGCTTAATGAATTACCTGTATCTCTAACTTCAGATTTCCTTTTATATTGTTTATCTTTGTTCAGGCTAGTACCATTTTAGGATTATCTTCTTAAATGTATTTACATTCCTTTTAATTCTTTCACATTCTGCCACAGGGTAAAATCCGTCAAGTGCAGTTGGAAGGATGTGGTGTATACAAACATGCAGACACTTACATCTCCTAAAAATTCTCAAGACTTTTGCTAAACAGAATTAAAAGTACAAATAAATTTTCTTGCTTCTCTGCTCTGTCACAAAAACCTTTATCCTCAATTTCTGTTAATTTATTTATCTGTGCATAATTTAGAAGATATTCCGTATTTCAGGTGAATCTCCAGTCTTGTTCCTGCCTGCCAGGAGGTCCCTCTGAGCGGGGCTTGGCCACTGCTCTTTGTGCAGTCCCTGTCGGCTGCTCGGGCTTTCCTGTACCGTGTACACACGTATCGTGATCTTGGGCCAGATGCAGTAAAGATTTAAGGAACACTGGAGGGCCCCAGGTCAGATGTAAATTAAAAATCCCTCACTCGGTTAGCTTAACTGCAAGGCTTCACAATTCACAAAGTGTCTTTCTCTTTGACCTTACTATACATGATAGACTATAACAGACGAAAGCAGAGCTCTTGTGCACACACCAAGCTGCCTGTTCAAGGAGCCTCATGCCCTGAAGTGCTGTCTTCTACATAAGTCTTCCAAACACTCAAGATGGGAGGCACGCTCTGTCTAAACCTGGCAGTTTTGGGACCCAAGAATAACATAATTTTTGATACTTTTAAAATAGCTCTGCTATAACTGTGTCATTTGTCCCTGTCCCTAACAGGATTTGGGATTATTCTTTCATCATAAATGAGACACTTTATTGTTTCCACATTGTGGATGGGTTGAAGTTGCCTCTTTTAATTCTAGGCTTTAGCCTAGATTACATTTAGTTACCATGAGGCTGACGTGTCCAGCTCCGTTGGCCTGGGAAGCTGAAGCAGGGCCTGGTTTTGTGGTGCCTGTGCCCTCTTTTCTCCCTCGTGCCCTTCACATGTAGTTAGAGCAGAAGTTCTCAGGGCAAGAAACATCATCTGGACTTATAAATCATCATTTAACTTCGATGCTATTCATACTCGAAGATGACCAACAGTGAAGAAGGGGGCAGATGACCGAGTGCTTTGTTTCTTTGTCTTAAAGCAAGAATAAAAAGTGGATCAAGCATGGGAAGTGGAGAGGAAATTTTCTCCTTATTTTTCATCTGTAATATCAGGAATAATAACTCGTTTCCCTTCTGCTTTTATTGTAGATTTTGATAGAGGGTTTGAATGTGACTATGAACCTTCTTGTTCCTTAATAAAATCTTGTTCTGCAAAAACTTTCAAGATCAGTGAGCCAGAAAAATTAAAATTCTGCTTGCATGTGTTCAAGAGTTAGACTGAAAAATTCCCTTCCTTCTCAACTAGGTTTACATTGAATGAAATTGATGTTTCATTTCCATAATGTGTATTTTCCACCTGTGCCTTGAGCTTTTGGGGAGGGGAAAAAAAAAAGCAGGGGTGAGACCAAAATATTCAAAGGTTTAAAAAGGCAACATTTATGAATTAAAATGCTACCCAGATTGTCGTAAAGAACAGCATGTAACCATTACTGTGCTGCTCAGGCTCATGTAACGCAGGCCGTTTTACAGCCTGCCAGCAAGTCTTACACAACTTCGCTTTTAAAAGAACAAAAGTTGCAATATTAATGATTCTTTAAATCAACAAATGTACAAAGGGGAAAAAAAATGTTCCTGAGAAAGGCCCTATTGTGCTGCCCTTTCCTCAGGGCACACCGATCCCCTTCTCATTTAATAATGAACTTTCTGCCTACTGGCCCCAATTAGGTGCAAGAACATAGTGATAGCAGGCACTGTACATGCATGAGACAAATCTTCCCTCAGGGACCATAATATATATATTTATTTTTTAAAAAAGCTTATTTCATAAAGCAGCTCTGTTGGCATGGCACGCTCTCGTACGCGTTGGCCTAGATCCTGCAACAGCAACATGTGCTGTGAAACCCCTGTTAGGTGAGAGGAGGAACATGCGCCTCTTGCAAAAGCCCCTTCCAAATGGAAGTTTCCAGTTGGTATTTTTTCTAACTTTCAGAACATAAATAAACAAGATGGAAAACAGCAATGTGTCTTTGTTAGAGAAAAGGTTCCCTAAGGACTGGTAATGGTGCAATGAGCATGAGCTCCCGGTGAAGAGGGCTCCCAAAGCATGGAGTGCCAGGAGGTGAGGAGCAAACCCTCGATGTCAGCAGGACCCAGCGTCGCCCAGGTGACTAGGGCAGGGACCAGCCTGGGGACATATGTCCAGCAGGAAAGGGGGGGTCACTTTCAGCGCTGTGGCTCACAGCCCTGCTTTGCAGAAAGCCCTCACTTTAGCGCCCCTTGCCGCATCTGCAGGGTTTCACTTAATTAATTAATTAATTTGCCCTTAATTGCCGGGCATCAGCTGAGGCTGCTGCTCGGAGGCAGGTGAGGAACTTTCCCGTGGGAGGCGGTAGCCACAGGTCCCGGCGGAGGCTGCGCTCCCCCTTCGCTCCGGAGCCGGCGCCCGCGCCCCCCCGGGGCCGCGTTATTCCGGTGAGCGGCGGGAGAAGGGGGCGGCTGCGCCCGCGGGGTCCGCCCAGCGCCGCCGCTCGCCGCGCGGGCCGAGGCAGGAAAGGAGCGGCGGCTCCGCGCACGAGGAGGAGGAGGAGAAGGAGGAGGAAGGGGTCCGTCGCGGTGCCGCGGGGCGCGGCGGGCCATGCGCTGCCGCCCGCCTGCTCGCTCAGCATGCGCGGGCCGTGCGGCCGCCTGTGCCTGCTGGCCGCGGTGCTGGGGCTGTGCGCGGGCAGCAGGAACTGCCCCGACCTCCTCGTTGACAGCTGCCTGTGCGCCGCGGAGCGCGCCAAGGCGCCCGGCCGCCCGGCGCTGCGCATCAAAGTGCTCTGCAGCGGCGGCGACTTGCTGGAAACTTTGCCGCCCGCCGTGCTGCCCAACCGCACCGTGACCCTGTGAGTACGGCCGCGGGCGGCTCACCTGGGCGCTGGGCTGGGCGGGGGGGCAGCGGCGGTGGCAGCTCTCGGGGTAGCCAAGCCTGGGGGGGACGGGGGACGCTGCACCCCGGGGCTCGGTGAGCCGTGTACCCGGCGCTGCCGCCCCACGCGGCTCCCCAGCAAGGGGAGGGCGAGGAAAATCGCTCTCCCCGCAGATGACCGGCTCTGAAAAAGTACGCGAGAGTTTGTTGTTGTTCTCCGTTGGGAAACTGCTGCTGGCGCCGCGCTGGGGCCGTGGGACTCGTCCCGGCGCGGGGCGCGGGCCGGGGCTCACCTGGCGCCCGGCCCCGGCACGGGACAGCGGAGGGGAGGGTCCCCCGAGCGAGGGACATCTCGGACCCGCGAGGGACATCCCGGACCCACGGGGTCCGGCCAGCGACTGCGCACAGGCTCCTGGCAGACTCGGAACTCTGATACTGCTCCGAGTTGTCCCGACTCAGTTTGGAGCCTCCTGGTTTCTCTCCTTCCTCGACACCTTCCCTCCATCTCCCCGCCCCGGTCTTTTTTTTTTTTTTTTTTTTTTTTTTCTTTAAATTATCAAATGAGCAGAAAATACCCTGTGTTTACTGTTGCCTGCTGCACACAAATTTTTAAAGGCATGAAATTTGTTACAACTAAGTCGCTGAAACTTTTCATGCCCGTATCGCTAAGTGGAGGTGGGAAGTAATGTCCCTATGATGGACCAGTGCGTTAAGAGCTCTGTGACACTCGCCCTTTAGACTATGCACGTATCCAGCAGATCCTTTACTGCTGGATTTAGTTCTGTTGACAATTCATGCTGTGAACATCTCCACTGTTCACTGCCTTTCCTTTAAGTCAACACTTCTAGGAGACAACTGGTAAAGATAGTAATTTATAACATCTGGGCAGCTTGTGCTTGGGAGTGTACAGATGTGCTGCGCGTGCTTCAGTGCAGCTCCAGCTCTGACTGTTGAGTGATTTTTATTTTGCTTAGATGTGTACTGATTACTCATCTGGGAAGTTTTGCCTGTTAAGTTTTGCTTGTACAGTACATAATAACCATACTTCCTGTTAAATTTTAATAGAATGTTTTAGAATAATTTTATTACATCTACACAAGTTTTGACCCAGCCAATAAGCTGTCACTTTTGTTGTTTATATAGCTGATTATACAGTTATAGCTGGGTCTCCCCAAAATGCTGACAACTTGAGTGTGCACAAACTATTTTTTTCCAATGGTTAAGGGTTTGTGGAAGCTCTTAACACTTGGCATATCCGCGAAAGCTTCTCATGCCCTTATTTGCAGAATTTTACTTGGGTTTTTTTTTTTTTTTAAATTATCTTTTCTTTTGATTGGTTAGGTAAATCCAACTGACCACAGGATGAGCAAAAATATGTGTTTGCTGTAAGAAAAAGAAATTGAGTTCTGAGAAACAGAAGTGAGAAGGGTGAATAGGGGAGAGACCTTTGTAGTGGTAGGTGGAAGGATTTACTCGCTTACATCTCTGCTTTAAGGCACCTGCAACTTGATAATATCACCCTAAACATACACATTTCAGATGATTCTTGCTCGTGCTCACCCTAGAAGTATGCTGTGTGAGATGTTTTAAGGTTACTTACAAAACGCCATTCATTTGATAGCTTTATATCAACTAAGTACAGATAACAAGCTTACAGACCATTGCTTTCTACTGTATTTCACTCAAACACAGGGCCATGTATCACCAAAATATGTCCCTCTTATCTTGTTGTCTCTCCCTTCCCCCCCAGTCTTTCTAAAAGTAATTTTAAGGCCGAATCTTGCAGGTAAGTTGGAAAAAGTTAGTCTGGTTTAGGAATATAATCCTTTTCAGTAGTTGGAATATAAAAGTGACAATTTTATTGAAAGTGTCATAGACTTTTTAGAAGAAACTTGTGAGATTTGGCCAGCTGGAGGGTGGGGGGAAAGTAGTAAAAAGCTCAAACACTAGTGCTCTTGCATTTGTTTTTGTAGCTGCATGGAAGACTTAGAGAAAAGAGAATATTCTGGTAGACACCGCCTGTTTCCATTCGCTTTTATGGGCCCACAGAGAGGAAGAGAGTTTTAACATATGGAACATAACCTCTCGGATTGCTTTAAAAATTAAGAAATATAGAGGCAAAAAAAGGATTGTGTGTTTCAGATGTAGTAGCATTTTGATGAAACAATGTAACAAGCAATAATGACTTTATTTGATGAATTAAATCATCTCCATATATATTTATTGTGTAGGAATGTTGTTTCTTTAGTGCTAATCCCTTTTGGAAGGGAGGATCTAAGCTAATCTAACTTCAGCAGAGATGACAGAGAAGACATTTTCCTGTATCTTGTGTTCCATTAATAATAAAGTTGTAGATGTGTAACAGTTCACTTATGTGCTACATAATGTTGCTTATCAGCAAATTTAGTACATTATTATTCGTTTGCTATTTTTTTCTTCCACTTAACTGACCATGTACTTTGGTTGAGCGTGGCAACGTCAGCGCTGTAGAGCGTATGGGTACTAAAAGTATGATGACTGAAAATACTTTCAAAATGTGATAGGCAATATCTGACTTCATACTTGAATTTGAATTCACTACAGAATTTCTTACTTGTGACAGGTTTGGACCAATTCTTTCCAGTTTATGATGCAGAAAAGTTTGTATAGTTTCTTGGAGGTGGTATAAATAGTAGATCCATTCAATAGTGCTTGAAAGTTCTCAATAAAAATAGCAAACTAGGAAAAAGAAACCTCTGATATGCGTTGACAAAGCTGCTCTTTCCTCCTTTTTCTCTTTATGTCTATGTATGTACATGCGTGTGTGTATATATGTGTGTGTGTTTAGCATCACTTCAGAAGTCTTGTTAAAAGGAATTCTAACCAGTATTGATTTGCAACATCTATTTCTGGTCATAGTGTATTGTAGGAGGAGGGGAGTTGTTTTTTCTTTCTTTCTGTGCAGTCATGTGCCTCTTCTGTCACCAAATTATGGAAACCATTATATCCACATTCTTCTCATGGCATTAAGGTGTAGACCCCACAGGGAGGAATTATTATTCTGCAGAATAATATACTTTTCTCAGTTTAGACTTCATGGCTGAACATTTGGGAATATACAATCAATATTTTTTTCTCTGTTTTTGTAGTTTGACTGGATTGTTGTAGTGTGACCATTTTAAAAGGCAACCAAAGTGAAAAAAAAGTTATTTGCAAATTTTAATTGTTTAACTTTTGACTGACTTGCTGAAAGTCTGGCCATAGGGATTAAGTCTTGATAAAAATGTGCCCCTTCTAAAAGGCCTATAGTTTGAAAATCAGGAGTGAGCAAGCCGGTTCTGTTGCCAATTATTCCACTTACATTGGACACTGGATCTGTAGGTGGTTACGTATTCACTGTGCTTTCCTTCTTTATGTCAAGTGGCGTTAAGAAGCTTATTCTTTTAGTTTTCTTAAAGTTCTCAGTTAGCAACAAGTGTTGAGGTATGTGCAGAATGTACTTTGAAGTTATAAATGCCATAAGTTCCTATAGTGATATCACTATTTTTTCTGCTCTCTTAATAATGTCTAAATATTGCTCTTCAATATTTGTTCTGAAGGCTGCTATTTTTACAAATTTAGTGGACATCTGTATAGGAGTGTTCTTTTAAATGTCATTGTAGAAATTAAAATTTAGGATAATGTCATTTAGTAGTGATTACAGAGGCTCAATATCATATCTGTATCACACTTCAAATTTTTCTATCTATGCTTCTCTTCAAACTGTGACTCAGAGGCTGTCCTGAACTCCTTGTATTCTTAATTTCAGAGTGAGGCTCCACAATTTCACTCATAACTTTTATGTAAGCTTTTTTTTTTCCCCATCTGCAAGGCACTTTACAAACATTAACTAGTGTTCTGAAAGCAGCATTTGTCCCACTTTTTTTTTCCCCGAATTACTTTTATGTCACTTTCATTTATGTCATGTCTACTGGAATTTATTCTAAGTTATTATATTACTATATTTGGCTGATGTCTAGTCTTGTCTTTTACACTTCTACATTGCTTCAATTTAGGATGTATCAATATGATTTATTTAGTATAAACATCATGCTATAAAAATACATTGCAGAAATATATTCTGTGCCCCAAAGAGCTTTAAGTTGTCCAAAGTAAATAACGCAAGAATGGAGAGGAGATGAAGAAAACATTATTTAGTAGTTTCATTATTTAGTAGTTTTCTCTCTTCATCTCAAAACTTTTCTTTATTGGTGTGTTGTCTCGCATAATGTTGCTAATTCGTAAATAACGAAGGTTTTAATTCATGAACATTTTCACCTTGCATAACTTCCTGTGCTCACTTACATCATGGCAGCAAAAAGAACAAAAAGCAGGTTTCCTGCTCTATTATTTATGGATGTGTATATATTTATACATGCTTTCTCCAAAAAAGTTTATCATTGTGAAAGAAACCCCTAGCATAAGGCAAACTGACTTAGCACATGTGAGAGACTTGAACTCTGGAATAAATTGAACTCTGGAATAAATGGACAAGGACAGCCAGGAAAAAAAAAGAGGTGAAAAGCAGTAGATAAAAACTCTTTAGTGATTAGTCTAGCTTTCTTTAAAAGTACTTTTATTGTGATTTTTTTCGTATAGAATCCACTGGAGCAGTTATGCAATGCAAAACTTAGGCTTTTTTTTCTGCTCCTGTTATTTCCAGTGAGGGAGTATCTGCATCTGCTCTTGTTTACTTGTCAATAACTTAAGTACTATCACACTTCCAAATTATAACTTTCTGACCGGGAGACTGGTATGTTAACATTACACAAAATTCTAATAACAAAGGAGAATTGGAGGAGATGCAAATAGATGCTCTGTTTGTGAATAAGGTCTAATATAGAATGAAGGCTTACCTTAGTGTTTTAATAGATACTGAAATAACTTTGTAAGGTAATACTACTACATGCTGGGATTTCTTTGTCTCTCTATGCCAGGAAGCTTGCCCTATGATGACTG